GGTCAGATACGCTGGGCTTGCACACTAGCTCCATCATTTACTTCTGACAGGCCATGGCACAATCCCATTAATATAGTACATGATGAGCCCTCATTACTGGGTTTCGAACAAAGCATTTGATATCATCAAAGTATTATATCTAAAAGTTAGAGCAACTTAGTGAAATTGCTATTCATCTTGTCGTTTAGCTGACAAGGAAGTTAGGTGCAAAGAGGTTAGGGATGCTGTTAAGGACAAGCATTTTGTTGCTGTCATATAGTAGCATTGAACATAACGAAATTATGTATTGATAGAAAGGCTTATCTTAATTAAAAATTTAAAAGGACAGTTACTACAAAAGCTATACATATTCACTGTGTATAAAAATTAGGAAATACAGGTAAGTGAAAAAGAAAGAAACAGTAGAGTCATAATTCCACCACTGATGAATCATTTGGTAGTTGTTTGACCAGACCTTTTTCGCTACATATGTATCTTTTGTTCTTTGTTTTTGTTTTACCAAAATGAAGTCAAACTGAATATACAGTTTTGTGCCTTCATTTTTACTCAACAGTCTATGGTGAACATTGTTCCAGATCAACAGATGTTTATCTTCTACAATTACAGTGTTCACTAAATTGAAAAGAACAATCATTTCTTTTCTAAAAGTTTATATGAAAAATGTGGGACATAGACTACTCTGTAGTAAGTAACATATTTTCTTGGGTTTATGAATGATCTTGTTGACACACTCTTCCTTTGCCAGTTAATTCTGTGGTCCTGCTTTCATTTGTTCTTTGGAGACTGGAGATGTTCCAGTTTGAAAGCAGACATTTAAGCTTCTGCACTCAGCAGTTTGTGCATCCGCACTGTCCATAAAGCCACCACATCTGTGTTCAGAGTTACCCATGCAGGATTTGTGCAGCTCTGGCGTTTTCATTACGCACATCCCGTCAGACCTCTCCTTGGCCAATCTGGCAGCAAGCTCTGGGATATTTGTTGGAAGAGCTGATTAAGTTGAAAAAAGTGAAATTGGTGAACTAAGCCAAGGTTGAACAATAAATATATAAACACCAGTTTCATACTGTTTTCTCATTTTCAAAATGTGGGGTTGCTGATAAACACAGAATGTTGTCAGGAGGAACTCTACCTGTAGTATGACTTTAACAACTAATACCTGTGCATACAGTTCTGTATTCTGCTTCCTTCATTTAGCATTTGTTATGAACATACTCCCTTGTAATGACCATATTTGGATGAATTTTTAATGGTTGCACTAATATTCAATAATATGAACTACTGCAATTTATTTGAATTAGTCCCCCATTAGTGCACAGTTTACTTGGAATTTTAACAAGGCCTATTTACCTATGTCTTTGTTATCACTAAAGAGCAGTACATTAAAAAAAAAATTTTGCCAATTGCTGTGTGAAAATGGTATTTCATTTTAATTTTCTGTTCTTTTATTATTTCAGAATAGTTTTCTAATATAAGCTAAATCTCTCAAAATCTTGTTCACTTTATTCATATTTCTAGCAAATACCTCTTAAAAAAATAGCAAAGTTACATTCATCCCATGCCTCAATTACCAAGAATTCAAATTTGGTGGAGTCCAGACTTCATTATGTTTTATAATATAGATAAACATTTTTTGAGCCTTGACCATTATTTTTAATTTATATATAGTTTTAGTTTTTCAAATATTCAATAAATGGTTACTTTGTACATGTATTATGCTAGAAAACTAGTAGGTTTTTTTTGAAAGGAATAAAGAACAGCAGAGTTTGGTAGAAAGAAAAGGCATGTAACAAAACCTGCAACTCAATGTATATATCAATATAGGGACTGAATGAGAAAATATGTAGAGAGTGCTTAATGCTTGGCAGAGAGTAAAGGATAAACACTATTACCATTATTGACAAAACTATTCTTAAATACAGTGGTTGCTTAAAGGTCTAACGGTGGGAAAAATTCTAACAGAATCAACCCAAATTAGCTGTCTATGAATTCTAGCAATTTCTTCTTTCTTTATGGTCGATGACCCTCTCTCCCTCTCTCTTTCTTTCTTTCTGTCTCTCCCCCATTTATCTCTCTCTCTCTCTCTCCCTCCCCCATCTTCCCTCCCTTTCTCATAGTTAAAATCTTTCCCCACAGGGTATGATTATTAATATCAATTTGGTAAGGCTTCTTTAGGTTAATCTCAAGAGAATTGAGGTAGGTGATATCATGAGGCTCTTTTTTTGTTGTCAAATATTGTCTAAGAGGATCTCTTGATTTTCATTATGAGAGGTAATAAGTAAATCATTTTCAAAGGAGATGTGATCAGGTTTTATTCCCTTTCAAACAAAGTTGTCAGTTTTTTCATTAACTGCACCCTCCTCCCCACATGCTTCCTTGCAGAAGCTGGGCGGCCATGGTTCTGATCCCTCAAGTCCTATCAGAATGCCCCTTACGACCTCATAGTCACACTACATTTGACATCATAAAGAGAATATCCCATGGGACCTCCATGTGACCACCATGTTGTAAAAACTAAGACCACAGACTGAAGGTGTGGAGTATGACTTTGTCTTTCCCTAAATCTGCATGCAGAAAGGAATGAGAGTGGGTGCACAGAGCCAAATTTGAACTACTACCACACTGAAGTACATGATGGCCACGCAAGGCATGAGATCCAAAACCACAAAAGAGGGAAGTAGAACATTAATATAAGTGTTATCATGTTGCTAAATATTTTATGGTGTTGATTTGCATTTGGGCCATATGTTGGCAAACTTGGAGAGCTATTTATAGACTTCTAAGGGGGTGTTTTTTCCAGAGGTGATAAAAATGTAAAGGTCTTTGATTCTGTGGAGATTGATTTCTTTTTCCTCTGAAAGTTTTTGTGATATGTAGCTCTATTTTGAGAGTTGTGGTGTTCTTTTTTTTTTTTTCCCTATTACTGCAAGCTTCATTCAGTGTTCAAAGCCCAGTCGACTCACCTTTTAACCTACTGTTCTGGCCCCTTCCCTTTGACAAAAGTTGTTCTAGAAGCCACATGCTGAATTCCTGCTCCTGACAAGTAGTGAGGTTTGATTTCATAGCCTCTTCATTTCTTTCTCTTATGTTTTCTGAATCTTTGCCTATTTTCTTGTTTGTTTTGGTCTTGATGTTTAAATTAAAAAATTAGTGTATGTAGCCATCCATTTCAATGTCCTTTTTTCCAAGATAGGTTTAAAGTACTCTTTTTCCTGTCCATTTTTTCTTATGGCGCTTCTATATGTTTTTGTACTTTTACATAACTGTTACTTCTTTGAACAACCTAATCATAATTTTAATTATAATTGCTATAAATTTTTGTTAGATGGCTCATAAGATTAATTTCTTCTCAACTGAATTTACAATCTCATTGTTGATTTTCTCAGCCATCATTTTTGCATTTTTTTCATTATAGATTTTGGAATTTTAGTATAGATTAACAGGATTATTTTAATCTGTATTTTTCGTTCTCCAGTTTTGCAGTTGCCTAAATCTGTCCCCTTGTAACCTCCCCCCACCCGCCCCGCCCACTGGTGTTTAGAGCTCTCATTCCTCAGTGGTACTGGAATGTGATAGATTCAGAGGGTGGCTTGGTATAGTTCTTGGTGGTGATGCTACATCAGTGTCCTCTCTCAGTTGGCAGAATCTTCTTCAAGGGTGAGAGGCCCTCAGACCAGTACTGGATTCAGGCCCGCACTGAGCCTGACTTGGGCCCTTGGCGTACGAACACTCATACATAGTCCCACTTGCTCTCCAGGAGTTGTGCACCGCGCCTCCACGCGCCCCCTCCGCCCCGCCCCTGCTGTCCTTAAACACAGAGACAGCAAGTCCACAACTTCATCCCTGCTCACTTGTTCCCAGTTCCATTCAACTTTTGTATCTAGAAATTTATCAGCCATGCATCTGACCTTTTTTTCTTTCCTTCCTCCTTTCCGTTCTCTGCATTTTTTTTCTTAAGCAATAACAATTCAATTTTTGTATAATTTTGGATATAAGAGGGAACGTAAAAGCATGACCTATATCATCTTGATTGAAAGTAAAAATTTACTTCTCAAAAGCAATTCTCCACATTTTCAAAATGCCTACATGCTGCTATGGTTGGAATCATATATAATTTTGAAGCAATTTTATAGCTTGGCATTCTGTTAGACTTTTCTCTTTTGTTTAAATATTAAGGTATGGAATATACTTTTTTATGAATATATATTTATTCATTTACCAACAAACATTTGTTGAGGGCATACTATGTGCCAGCCAATGTTCTAGGTAATGGGAATACAGTAGTAAATAAGACAAAGTTTCTACTCTGATGGAGCTTATATTCTACTAGAGAGAGAGAGGTAACATGCAAAGAGGTAAGTATATAGTATTATAGGTATTAAGAAGATGGCATGGAATCATAGACATACCCAAACCCAAAAGTAAGCACCAGGTGCAAGCAGAAAGACTACAAAAGAAGCCCTCTCTTTCTGGTAGTCTGCTGTTCTTACAGAATGTGATCACTAAGGCTTCTCTCTTTGACATTTATAAGAATCTCTTATAAACTGACAAGGAAAATAGTCCAAAGATGTTAAATATAATCAGATATTTTCAAGAGAAAATAAAATGTAAAATAAATATATGAGGAAGATGTTTAACCCAAGTAGTAATTTACAAAGTAGCAACAAGGTGACCCTTTTACTTAAAAATTGCTCACTCTCATCAGTTTGACAGGGGCTTATGAAGATGATACTTGTTTCTGACTAGGAATTTCCCAAAGCTGTTGTTTTGTGTGTGTGCATGGTGGTGATTTTAAAAATATATAGTTTTAAAATTGGAAGAAAAAGATTAGCAATGATATCTCCGATTCTTATTTTTTTCTTTGTGATTATCCATGTTCTCTAATTTTCTGTAATTATACTGGTTTTATAGTCATAAAAACATGCCATATGGCTCTGTAGATCCATTTTCAAAGGTACATGTTAACCTATCAGCTGACGCCTTCCTTTGGTATTGCTGTTCAGGTGTTCCCTCTGGCACACGTGTGCAACACCACCAATAAGATGACATTAATTAACCCCCAAGGAGTCAAGCTCAATATCTATAAGCAAAAAGTGGAACAGGCCATTAAGAGCTATGAAAAGTGAGTATTATTCCTGGCTGCTCTTTAATGGCTGTGGAATTTATTTGTTTGGGCTTGTTTTCTCTTGTTTTAGCTTAGATTTTTTTCTTTACCTGGAGCAGCTACTTAGTGATTGCCCCAAAGGATTATCAGCGGTAGCTGCTACAAACAGAGGCGCTTCCTCTGTGCCAGGCACCTGAAGAAGTCCAACAGAGTTTTAAAGGAACCATCTTCCCTCTCCAAAATCTATAGAAATCTCACGTTTCCCTGAGATCTTTGACGCTTTCCTTTTAGCAGAGTGAATTTGATCATTTCGACACCTAAGATTTTGTAAAGTGACTAATGAAACTCCACAATAATGAGATAATGGAGATAATGTAAGTGTCTCCTACTATATAAACCATTTTTTCCCAAGATCAGGAGGATGATCAAGTTGGCTCCAGTGAAAGTTATACTCTTAGTCACTGTCTTAGTGCTGAGATAGGGGTCTCTTTTCACAAGGGCAGATGCCCGGTCTCACCCTTGGCCTAGCTTTGTGGTCTCCTCCCCACCCCACTCCCAGCACTTTATTAAGCCTCTGTGCCTAGCACTTGAACTTTAAGCATGCCCTGCTTCTCCGGGCAAGCCTTTCCTGGGTTCTGGAAGCTGTGCAACTGGGTTTTCACCTACCACCATGTGGGTGGGAGGAATGAAATAAAGTACATGAAAGTTAACGATGTGTCCTAGGCAGCGTATGCTGGTCTGTTGTCATTTTGCAGTGTGTCTAGTGTGTGTTTGAAAGAAGCATAGAGCCTGACTCCTGCCACATGGGGTGCACAGTCCAGTCCAGAGGCTGGCCTTTCCCCACCATGCCCGTCACAGGCCTCTGCAAATCTCCTTTCACGGGAGCCTTCTCCTGCCCTCACCTAAGAATGGAGGCTTACATGAGCTCCTTCGGCTGCCTCCAGGCTCCTCAGGACTTCTCTGAGTCTTTGTCTGCCCTTCCTTTCTCTTGCAGACACAACGAACTATGCCAAGGCTCACTCATGTCTGTGAGCCTGAGGCTTTGCTCTGTAGATTTCCCCCCATCCCCTGCACAAGGGGGCTGCCCCTCCGCTCTGCCTCTCCCTCTGCACCAGGCAGGCCTTCCCTTGCCTCCCAGCAATGCTGCCCCTCTTCGTGTCCTCCAGCTGGCCTCTTTCATTCCCGTCTTGCCTCAGCTCCAGTGGCCCTCCTCCAAGAGGCCTTTCCCCAGTGACTCCACCAGCCACCTTGCCTGTAGTCCTCAGAGGGCTCACAGCTTCTGCACAGGCCTGGCTCTCCCCTGCAAGGATGTCAACTTCCAAGGGCCGGAGCTTGGCAGCCTTGCTTTCCCCGTTGTCTCCTCTCGATAGCAGGTGTTGCTATGTATGTATTTGACTATTGGAATTTAATTTGAATCTGATCTAATTCATGTTTAGTTATTAAAATTCATCAAATTCAGTTATTCAAAATGTATCATTCATATTATAATTGAATTTGCTTGACTCAGTCAAATATTTGAGTTCTAGAATTACCTGGTTTGTGAAAGCCTGATGCAGGCCCACAAGCTAGGGCTTTGAGGTCCCCATTCTGGGTTTCATTTTTGATTCTGACGTCTACTTTGCAGGTCATGTAACAATTGCAAGCTTCAGATTCCTTATTTACAAAATCTATCTCCGGAGGCAGTTGTGATGGTTATGTAAATTATATATAAAGAGCAATTAATGTTAATTACTTACCCCTTTCATTTCCTGAATCTGCTAATCCTAAAATAACAATAAATACACAGAGTATAATAGTCACACAGCTCTTCCCCCTACATTAACCCTTTCCCTTTCTGAAAACAGGGATCCCTCCTTCCCTAACAGCAAAACCAAAATACAGACATAGTGATTTGGCCCACTTCTTACTTCCAATGAGTGAATATGGAAAAACCTTTTAGGACCCTTAGAGAAATGCATATTGCTATTATTAATAGTAATATTAATTTTAATATGATTAGTATTATTTAAAATTCAATATAATTGACTTAATATATGATATTAATGTGATATTTATATTAAATGAATATTTAATATTATTATTTAATAATATTAATATTAACATTAGTATTATACAGAACAAAACTTCCTGATCTTTTGCATTCAATAGTTTTTAAGAATTTTGTTGGTATAAGTGTCAATTCCCTTTTCCATCTTGCTCCACCTTTCTAAAGATACACATACTATGAAAAGTAATTAATGAAACTGGGTTTACTCCCACTCCGTTCCCAATATAACATTTCTAAGGAGTTTCCCATCACAGGTAAGCCAAATAAAACCCTGAATTTGTATGGTTAGCAATGACCAGACAGTTGGGAAGCTCATAGCCCTTTGGCCAAAATAGTGACATAAACTAGCTATGTTGGTCACACTTAACTGGCTGTGTGTGGGAGTCCTTCTGTTTCAATATTTTATGAATTGAGATAGCAATTTTGGCTTTGTGTGTCTGAGTATAAACTTTGAGTGAGGGTTGGCAGGGCCGGCTGGCTTCTGGGGTCATTGTCTGCAGCTCATTTTGATTTTGAGGGTAAGGTCAAGGTTGCAGCCCTCAGATTCAGAGGAGAAGCATCAGTTCTAACCTGGCTGTGGGGCCATCCTTAGTAACCTCTGCATATGATCTCCAAAATGATCTGCCTGCTGGTTAGATTTCTGAAGCGTCATTAATTACAAGTTGCTTTGCAAATTCTGGCAATTCTTGGCACAAGTAGATTTGTCAACTAGAGGTGTAGAGAGCTAGTGAATACAACCCCTCAACCAAATTTCACTCTCCTAAAACAAAAAGAAGAAAGCTATGGTTGGTAAAATCCTTGAATCAAGGGGTGGACCAGCCTCAGAGAGGCCTTCATGTCCCATAGCCTCTCGGCATCCCACAGCGATGGCCCTCATCCCACACCCTTTGTGGCTTTCCCACCGTCACCTGGCCGGTCAGTGGAGCTGGGATCGACACTCTCAGCTGCCCTCAGTTCACACCCACCCACTTTTTCTGCCCTCTGTACTTTCAAGTATCTCAGTATAGATGGATAAAAGGGGGAATAACAGAGGTTATGTAAGTGTGCTCTTAGAAAAGTATTTTCTAAAAGATTGAATTAAAATTAGTGGTCTGTGTGCTAGCTAATTGGACCCACATTTACTAAGGTTTCTCAGTTTCCAAGCCTCGCCCATCTTCAGAACCTGGAGGGAATAAACACTGAGTTATTCCTGGTCACTTCATATGTACATCTCAATCCTCCCAACACCAAGGTAGGTGGTGTTATCCTTGTTTCAGCGATAAGAAAACAGAGTTTCAAAAAGTTATATAACATAACAGGATCACACAGCAGCAAAGTAGAGGCACTGAGATTTGAACCCAGAGCCATGTGGCTCCAAAGCCCTTGGCCTCACTCCCAGCCTCCCTACTACATACTGTCTCTACTTTCAAGGTTTAGGTTTAAGGGGATTTTTAAATGAAGTTGTATTTTTGTTTTTGTTTTCAGAGACGCATATACACACAAGCCAAAAATGCATCCTATGAATCCTTTAAACAGGTCTTAGGAGCCCTGCTTATAGATACGTGAACCACGTAATTAAAAATAACCCAATTTCCAAATAGGCCCCAAGGAACTCAAAGCCTCCAAGTGAGATAGAAGCACTGAGCTGACTTATTGCCTGCTTCCCGACTGTTTGTATCACGTACAGAGCATTCACCCGTGTCAGACAGGTTCGCACACACTGGTTCACTGAGCCCTCATGGCAACTCTAGGAGGGAGGTACCATTATTATCCACATTCTACAGAGAAGTTGGCTGCTGGCCCAAAGTCTCACAGCTAATAAGTGGAGAAGCCAACTGAGCTTTGGACCCAGGCAGTCTGGCTCCAGAGCCTATGCTCTTCACCGCATGCCAGACCCCCTTGCCATGGTCTCACCAGGCTCAGGAAGGGAGGTCAGGCAGGGTAACACCCCGAAAGTGTTCTCAAAGCCCTGTGCCGCTGATGCTGGGTCCAGTGGTTAGAGAATGCCTCCTGGAGAGGGGCAGTATTCTCCCAACTCATTTTATTGGAGCTTGTTTTTTTCATGGAACACCAGCTCCCAGCCGCCCGGAGCCAGTGTTCTGTGCCCTGCACTCCAGGAAGCCTACTTTGGGTAGTGATGTAGTGGTACAGAACGGGGGAACAGGATGGGGCCGGCACCTCCGCTAGAAGCATCACTGATTCATAACAAGAAAAGGAGCTGCATCTACCCCATAGAAACCACTGGCTTCAGCCTCCTCCTTTCCTCTCTCTCCGCGAACATGTTCAGTGATGAGCTTCAGAAAGTTTCAGCGCTGCTACCACCATCAAGCTGTGATGGGTGAGCCAGGCACTTCATCTGTTTGCCCTTCTCAGTGACCTTGTTTGGAAAACAAGCAAGTCAGGCTCGTTGATCTCTAAAAAGTGTCCTGGTCCTATTATTTATGACTCTCTTCACACCTTTTTCTCTGAAAACCCAGGTCTAGAAGAATGTCTCTAAGGGCATGGTTTTACTTTTCCATAGGGAGAAAATCAGTGAGTGTTTAGAGACCTCATGCAGAGAAAATGACAACCATTTTGTTTACTTCCATTTCTTAGCCTGGGTTTTACCTGACCGAGCTGAGAGTTGTGCCCTCCTTTAATATTCAACATGACTGCTACAAAGCCATGAGCTTTCCACAGTGATGCTGAGGGAGGCAGATACTCCTATCCAGTGTCTTTAAGCAAATGGCAGTGACATGGTCCAGTGTGGGTGTCCCTTGGCTCGGGATCTGCCCGCAGTGCCCTTCAGAGCCTGGGATCAGCCTTTTGCCATGAAATGAACTACTGCTACTAAATGATTATTGTTTTTTTTTAAATAGGCGCTTGAATAAAATTGTTTGGCGAGCATTATCTCAAGAGGAAAAAGAAAAGTAAGCCAGTTTCTCTTCACTTTGTTTTATCTTGGTGAAATTCACATAACCTACAGTTAACTTTTAAAGTGTACAGTTCTATGTTATTTATTCAAAATATTGTGCAAACCACCACCTCCCTCTAGTTTCAAAACCTTATCACCTCAGAAAAAACACCTTGTACCCATTAAGTAATCCTTCCCCACACCTCTCTCCCCCTCTGGGAACTACTAGTCTGCTTTCTGTCTCTGTGTACTTTCCTCTTCTGGATATATCATATGAAAGGAATCATATAATATGTGACATTTTGTGTCTGGCTTCTTTTACTTCCTTTTTGTAAAAACTTAATGTTTCCAAGTTGTAGCATACATAAGTACCCTTTTTATGCCTCAGTATGGATCCATTGTGTGTACATACCAGCTTGTTTATCCATTCTTCCATTGGTGGATATTTGGGTTGTTTCTACCTTGGGCCTATTGAGAACAATGCTGCCATACACATTCATGTAGAAGTTTCTGTGTGGACATATGTTTTCATTTCTCTTGGGAACATATCTAGGTGTGGATTTGCTGAGCCACAGGGTTATTCTATGTTTAACTTTTTGAGGAACCACCAGACTTTTTCAGAGCAACTGCACCATTTTACATTCCTACCAATGAGGTATGAGGGTTCTTGTTTCTCCACATCCTTGCTAATGCTTGTTATTTTACTTTTTTTTTTTTTAAATAACTAAAGCCATCCTGGTGGCCTGGTGGGTATGAAATGATATCTCCTTGTGGTTTTATTTGCATTTTTCTTAATGATCAATAATATTAAACATCCTTTCCCATGCTTGTTGGCCATGAATATATCTTCTTTGGAGAAGTGTTTATTCAAGTTCTTTACTCATTTTTTAATTGGGTTATTTTGTTGTTGTTGTTGTTGTTGAAATGTAGGAGTTCTTTATGTATTGTGGATTTTAACCACTTATCAGATGATTTTCAGAGACTTTCTCTCACTCTAAAGGTTGCCTTCACACTCTCTTGATAGTTCCTTTGATGCATAGTTTTTAAGTTTTATGTAGTCCCATGTGTCTATGTTTGCATTTGTGTCTGTGCTTCTAATATCATATCGAAGAAAGCACTGCCAAATCCAACGTCTTGAAGCTTTCCCCCTATATTTTCTTCTAGGAGTTTTATAGTTTTTGGTCTTCTGTTTAGGTCTTTAATCCATTTTGTTTCAAGTCACTTTTTATATATGGTATAAGTTAAGGGTCCACCTTCACTCTTTTGCCTGTGGATATCCAGTTTTCCCAGAACCATTTGTTGAAGAGACTATCCTTCCCTCCATGGCAAGATCTTGGCACCTTTGATGAAGATCATTTGACCATATACATACGTAAGAGTTTATTTCTGAGCTCTTTATTCTGTTCCACTGATCATGTTTGTCTTTATGTCAATACCACAGCCTTTGGATTATTGTAGCTTTGTATATATATGTTCTGAAATCAGGAAATGTGAGGCCTCAACTTTGTTCTTTTTCAAGATTGTTTTGGCTATTTGGAGTCCCTTGAGGTTTCATGAATTAAGATGATTTTTTCTGTTTCTGCAAAACATGCCATTGAGATTTTGACAGGGATTGCATTGAATTTGTAGATTACTTTGGATGGTATGGATATTTTAACTATTAAGTCTTCTAATCCATAAACACAGGATGTCTTTCCCATTTATTTGCATCTTTTTAAATTGTTTTCAGCAACATTTTATAGTTTACAGTATACAAGTCTTTTACATCCTTGGTTAATTTTATTCCTAAGTACTTTATCCTTTTTGATGCTATTGTAAATGGCATTGTTGTATTAATTTCCTTTTTGGATTGTACATTATTAGTGCATAGAATTGCAACTGATTTTTCTGTATTGATATTTTATCTTGCTACTTTGTTGAATTTATTTATTAGTTCTAACAGTATTTTTATGGAATCTTTAGGGTTTTCTACATATAAAATCATGCCATCTGGATAGGACTTTCAGTACTTCACTGAATAAAAACAGTGAGAGTGGACATCCTTGCCTTGTTCCTGATCTGTGAGGAAAAGCTTCCAGTTTCTCACTGTTGAGGATGATGTCAGCTGAGGGCTTTTCATATGACACCTTTCTTATGTTGAAGTAGTTTCCTTCCATTTCTGGTTTGTTGAGTGTATTTTTTTTTTCATGAAAGTGTGTTGAATTTTGTGAAATGATTTCTTTGCATCCCTTGAGATGACCAAGAGGGTTTTTTTTTTTTCTTCATTCTGTTAATGTGATGTAGCACATCGATTTTTATATGTTGAAGCATCCTTGAATTCCAGGAATAAATCTCACTTTTAATGGTGTGTAATCTTTTTAATGTGCTGTTAAATTTGGTTTGCTAGTATGTTGTTGAGGATTTTTGCATCAATGTTCATAAGGGATATTGGTCTGTAGTTTTCTTTTCTTGTAGTATTTTTGTCTGGCTTTGGTATGGGGAAATGCTGGCCTCACAGAATGAGTCTGGAAATGTACCCTCCTCTGCAGTTTTTGGAAATATTTGAGGAGGATTGGTGTTAATTGTTTAAATGCTTGGTAGAATTCTCCCCTGAAGCCATTTGGTGCTCGGCTTATATTTGTTAGAAGGTATTTGCTTACTGATTCTATCTCCTTTCTAGCTATAGGTCTGTTAAGATTTTTTTATTTCTTCATGATTCAGTCTTAGCTGACTGTATGTTTCTAGGAATGTATCCATTCCTCTGGTTACCCAATTTGTTGGTGTATAACTGATCATAGTAGTCTCTCATAATCCCTTTTATTTCTGTGACATTAGTTATAATGTCCCCTTTTTCCTCTCTGATTCTGGTTATATGAGTCTTCTCTCTTTTTCAGTTAATCTAGCTGAGCGTTTATGTTTTGTTGTTCTTTCCAAAAGTCAAGTCTTAGTTTCACTGATTTTTTTCTATTGTTTTTCTGTGCTGTATTTTCCTTATTTCTGCTCTTATTTGTATTATTTCCTTCCTTCTACTAACTTTGGATTTAGTTCCTTTTTTCTAGTTCCTTCAGGTATATAGTTAGGTTATTGATTTGAGATCATTCTTCTTTTTTGATGTAAGCATTTTTAATAAATTTTTCTCCTAGTACTGCTTTTATAGTATTTCATACATTTTGTTATTTTGTGTTTTCATTTTCATGTATCCCAAGATATTTTCTAATCTTCCTTGTGATTTCTTCTTTGACCTGTTGGCTGCTTAAGAGTATGGTGTTTAATTTCCACATGTTTCTAGATTTTTCAGTTTTCCATTGGCTATTGATTTCTAATTTTGTCCCATTACGATTAGAGAAGATTTTTTTTAATGATTTCGATTTTGAAAACTTCTAATACTTGTTTTATGGCTTAACATGTGATCTGTCCTAGGGAATGTTTTATGTGTCCATACAAGGAATATGTATCCTGCTGTTGGCTGGTGGTGTGTTCTGTATATATATCTGTTAGGTCCAGTTAGCCTATGATATTGTTCAAGTACTCTTTCCTTGTTGACCAGCTGTCTGGTTGTTCTATCAATAGTTGAAAATGGGGATTGAAATCTCTTATTTTTATTATTTCTCCCTTCATTTCTGTCAATGTTTGTGTCATATATTTGGGAGCTCTGACATTGGGTGCATATATATTTATAATTGTCATCTCTTCCTTGTGGATTGACCCTTTTATCATTATATAATGTCTTTCTTTGTCTCTTGGAACAATTTATGACTTAAAGTAGTAATAATTTGCTGATTTTTTTCTTCTGCTTTAACAAGTCTTCTTTTAAACCTCTTTAGTGAATTTTTCATTTCATAGTTATTATATTCTTCAGATCCAGAATTTGTTTGGTTCTTTTTCATAGTTTCAGTATTTTTATTGATATTCTGTTTTGTTCATGCAACATTTTCCTGATTTTATGTAGTTGTCTGTGTTCTCCTAGAGCTCACCGAACATCCTTAGGACAGTTATTTTGAGTTCTTTGTCAGGTCACTCAGAGATCTCCCATTTTTTTAGGAAAGATTTCTGGAGACTTATTTTGTTCCTTTGATTGGGCCACCTTTCCCTGTTTTTTTGTATGCCTTAGAATCTTTAGTGGAGATTTGAGTATTTGAAAGAAACAGTTATATCTCCTAGTCTTTACAGACTAGCTTCTTACAGGGAACAGCCTTCACCAATCATCTGGGCTACGGATTCTGGGGATCTTTCAAACCTTTTCTGGGGTGTGCCTTCTCCAGGCTTGTGTGTGTAATTTCTCAGTTAAAGAGGTTTGCCCCCTTCCTTGTCAGGAGCCCATAATCTCTTCCTCCCCCTGGTGTCTGTTTTTGGTATTGCAGCGTCTCTGGTGCTGTAACAAGCCATGGGAACTCCCTTTAGCTACCCCTAACATGGTATCCAGAGTATCTCACCATTCCCATCAGTGCTCTGAGTCACGTGAGATGGAAACCAGTCTCTTGGGAAGCCCCCCCAAAAGCCAGAATGTTGGATGCATGTTCCTCTTTTCTTTTCTCCTAATTTTCTCCTAATTGCACTGCACTATCCAAGGGAAGCAGGGGGACTAGGCCTGGCAAAATGCAACAGCCTTTTCTATCCACTTTAATCCACTATTCTTCTTGGTTTTGTGTTCATCTGGAGTGCTGCGACCTCTTAACTGGTTTCAGGAATTCTCACAAAGGAAATTTGGTCTATATATTGATGAGTCAGCATCTCCTAGGGAGGAATGGGAGCCTGGGGTTTCTTAGTCCACCATCTTGCTGACATCACTCCAATTTAGATTTTTTTAGTAAGAATTTTTGCTGTTATCTGACAGGTTTGCTTGTGGATTGAGTCCTGTGGTTGTGCTGGGTTTGCACTGTACTCTTCCAACACCCTAAATCTAAAGGAAGTGATCCTTTCAGCAGTAAGAGAATAATTATGAAATGCCCTCTTCTCTCTCTCTCTCCCTCTCTCTCTTTCTTTCTTCCTCCTTCCTCCTTCCCTTTCTTTCTGTCCCCCCTCCAGGAGTGTCTGATGTAGCAGTAGCTGGACTGGAAGTAGTATCCAGGACCTGGGCCATCACATCACCCTGGCTTCCCCTTGAGTCTCACAGCCTGGGTTCTTCGGCTCATAGAAAGTTTGCCTTCTGTTCTTTGTGTACCAAAACAATGAAGCCAGAAAGTTTAGGCCTATTTAGGCTTATAAAAGGAGGAGAGGAGATCAAAATAGCTAGAATGAGCTGGTAGAAGAATTACTGCTCTGAGGCAAATATTTGGCTTTTGTTTTGCTTCCCTTCCCTTTGCTTTCCTCTGTTTCTCAGAGTTACTACTGGACATAGTGTGTGAAATCTCTTTGGAGCTCATTTTTGTTCCTGCCAAATGTTAGACCTAGGGAGAAAGGAATGAGTTCCAAATATGCCAAAAAAATAGAAAAAAAACTATATCGAACTTCAAAATTAGATGATCAAATTAGGTAATAGGGAAGAATGTGTACCATAATTCACAGAGATGGTTATTTTTAATGTAAGCTACTCATGTAAGCCACCACAGTCCTGATGGACCAGAGGGTATGCCTGTGATTCTGTCCACTGACACCTGACATCTGTCTGAGAGATGGTTCTCAAGGGAGGTTTTACTGAAAAATCATCTCTCCATGTTTTTTCTGTTATCGCTTTCTTTGTTTTTTGTCCTCCTTTTTTTTTCTTTTTAGGTTAGATGCATATAAACCCATGCGGTACTTGGAAAACAAGGCAGCTTTAAACAGGGCATTAGAACGGTTAAATTGGCCCATTTCATTGAAGGAGCTGTCAATGCTGGAAAATGAAATCCTAGCTGGGAAAATGTATATCCAACAGGCCATGGAACTCCAGGAGGCTGCCAAGAAGGAGAATCATGTGAGCAAGTCACAGGGAGAGGTGGGTGCCATGGAGGTGTCTATATGTCCTCCCTCCTTCCTGTCCCAAGTCATTGCCATCCCTGCGTTGGCCTTCCTTCTCCCTCTCCCACCCCCTCCACATGGATTTCTAAAAGAGTTAGAGCCAACCCAGGTAAAGCGTCAGGACTTCTTTTCAACAGAAAGGAAATGCCATTTGGTTTTACTATGGCCTTCTTTTTTTTAAACAGTACACTTTTAATTAAAAAACAAAACTAAACAGAAGTATAATATAGTGATCAAAGGTCTGGGCTTTGATATGAGCCAGACCAGGGTCTAGCCTCAGATCTGCCACCTAATCCCTGTATTATCCTGGCCAGTTATTCCATCTCTCTAAATCTAAGGGTTTTTAATCTGTAAAATAGGAATATTACTAATATCTGCCTTATAGGGTTATTATGAGAGTAAAATTACTTTTTACAGTACTTCATATTGAAAAGCCCCCCCATAAGTGTTAGAAATTATTATTAATAAGACACACTTTTCAAAAAGAAAAAAAAATCTTATAATCTGACTGCCTTATTACCACCACTTTGGATCACTTACTTTTAGCTTTCTTTTCCTCCTTGAGTAAATTTTTTACATAGAAGCAGTCTCCATAATCATTTTAATATTCTGCGTTTTTCCTTGACTGCAGCGTAGCTGATACATGATGTTACATAAGCTTCAAGTCTACCAACACAGTAATTTAGTAAGTTCTGCTGTGCTCATCACAGTGTAGCTACTGTCTGTCAGCACACGACACTATTACAGCACACTACAATGCCACATATTCCCTGGGTCGTATGCTTCATCCCTGGGACTCACTCAGTCCCTAACCGGAAGCCTGTACCTCCCACTCCCCTCCACCCCTTCTGCCCACCCCCCACCCCCTCCTCTCTGGCAACCACCGATTTGTTCCCTGTATTTATGGGTCTGTTTCCGCTTCTTTTTGTTTGTTTGCTCACTTGTTTTTTTAGATTCCACATGCAAGTGAAATCATATGGTATCTGTCTTTCTCTGTCTGACTTATTTCACTTAGCATAGTACCCTCTCGGTCCATCCATATTGTTACAGATGGCGAGATCTCATTCTTTTTTTATGGCTGATTAATATTCCACTGTGTGTGTGTGTGTGTGTGTGTGTGTGTACGTACATTCCACGTCTTCTTTATCCATTCATCTATCAGTGGACACTTGGGTTGCTTTTGTGTCTTGGCTATTGTAAATAATATTGTAATAAACAGAGGTGTGTGTATCTTTTTAAACGAGTGTTTTTGTTTTATTTGAGTAAAGATCATATGGTAGTTCTATTTTTAATTTTTTGAGGAACTTCCATACTGCTTTCCACAGTAGCTGCATCAATTTACATTCCCACTAACAGTTCACGAGAGATTCTTTTTCTCCACACTCTTGCCAACACTTGCTATTTCATGTCTTTTTGATTCTAGCCATTCTCACTGGTCTGAGATGATATGTCCTTGTAGTTTTGGTTTGTATTTCCCTCATGATTAGTGATATTGAGCATCTTTTTATGTGTCTATTGGCCATCTGTATGTCTTCTTTAGAAAAATGTCATATTCTGCTTTTCTATTTGATATTATCTCATATACTTTCTCTATTTTTTCCAAATCTTCAGTTTGATTTTTTGGCTGTTATATAATATTTCATGGTGTGTACTATACCCTGATTTATTTAATTCTTCAGTGAATGTTAGACATTTGGGATATTTTTTTCAGTTTTCTTCTCTTTCACATGTCTTAATGACTTCTGTGGTGCATTTGGTTTAGTTTGTTAGGACAAATTCTTAGGAGTAGAATCCTTGGTTCAAAGGCATGAATATTTTGGGGTTCTAAATACTTATTGCTTTCTGACTGTGTGTGTTTGTATAGGCATGGAATAGATCACTTGAAATATTACTGAATTCTTTGTAATTTTGGTATATTCAGTATATGTTCACTAAAAAATATACCCAAAGAACTGACCTTTGAGATTCATTTCTTTTGGTTTCAGTCTTTGCTAAGTGATATTGGCTTTGCTTGGCTTTAAACTCCGTATTTGCTGCTCTGGATTCTTTGGTTCTGTTTTTTTGTTTTGTTTTGTTTTTCTTTCATTTTATTTTTTCCTACAAATCACACTTTTCCCCTCCATTGTAGAAAGCAATGTCTTTTGTGCAGAATGCAAAAATCTTATCACAAAGCATCTTATGGCTATTAATATTATTCAAACAAAGTGACTTCCCCAAATAATTGTTTAGTGTTCCCTTGGGAGACACCATCTGATGCCTCCAAATATGTGGCTATCTATTGGCCCTCCTCCCTGGATGCCCTGTGGGCACCCAAGAATCAAAAAGACAAGTGAATTAACTCCCTGTCCCTGAAAATCTGCTCTTCTTTTCATCATGCCTCTTCTCCTTTGTTCTTTCATTTTTTCATTGACATATTTATGAGTTCCCACAAGGTGCCAAGCACTATTCTAGGCACTAAAAGTGCCTGAACACACAATCACACCCCACCCTCATTCTAGTCAGGGAGAAAGACCAGTACAAGTCCCAAATGATGGACTTTCCCACACTGAACTGTAGAGACAGTGCCTAACAGCAGATTCTGCTAGCATTACTTTTTTCTATACTTTGTATTAAATTTAAAAATGGGTAGTGTTGCTGAGATGGAGTAAAAAGAAGCCTCTGGTGATTCAGAATAAAGATAGTGTGTTCTACTTGGATTTGTCTGGAATCCTGGGACTCAAAATTCCTTGCCCACGAGATATGAATGAATTGTTCTATTTTTTAATTCTCTTACCCAGAAAGTGGGAATAAAAATACTTTCCATCATTTCTTTATCCAAAAGTACCTGTTCACTTCTGACCACAGGTCAGATCCTGTGCTTGGCACAGGCAACTTCAGGCAGTGAAGAGCCTGTCTCATTCTTTTCTCTCTACTTGGTGTCTCCCAAGGTGATAATATACATTGGACACAAAATGGGCTTTGTTAACTGCATTGAAGACACGGGCCCAGCCTGGTGAAGATGTACTGGAACAGAATGTAAGCTCCATGAGAGCTGAGACCTTGTTTGGCCTTATTTGTAGCTGTATCTATAGCCCTGAGAATGGCAGCTGGCCCACAGTGGACACTAGACAAATACGTATTGAATAAATGAAACCCAGATCCTTCTAGCAGAGAATTATAAATGTGACAACAGAGGCACATCCACAGACCAACTGGAAGATGGGGAAAAGTGAACTGGAGAGTTGGGGGAGGCTTCAGAGAGGGGATAGTTAAGTTTGGTCTAGAATGACAAGTAGGATTTGAGGGTTGGGGTGTGAGAAATGTTCTGAGTGAAAGAAATGGCCTACGCAGAGGCAGGGAGGTGGGATGAACATGGCATGTTCACCAGGGATATGGCAGGAGACAAGGCAGGAAAGGAAGTTGGCAGCAGAATACGAGGGACTTGGAATTCTCTCCTTGGATCACGGACTCATGGCTGTTGGAAATGGAAACCCAGGGAAGAATTTTCAGCAAGTGTAAGACATTAACAGATTTATATTTTGGCAGCGTGATGAGGCCCAGTGTAGTAGAAGGGAAAGACCCAAACCGGGTGCAACATTCTGTTGAGCGGTTTTGAGTCCTTGAGCCAAGCCAGAACAGTGAGGAGGAAATAGAGAAAAGAGATATGAACTGGTAGAAAGTGAATGTGTGGGGTGAGCCAGAAGGCAAAGCTAAGGATACCCCAAAACTTTCTGTCTTGGACACGGGGGAAACAGACACTGTTAACCCTTCCGTATCACCTCTGCTCCTCAGTGACACAGATGTTCCCTGGCCAGCCCATCTAAACACCCTGTCATTCTCTAACCCCTGACCACATTTTTGTTTTCTTCACAGCACATTTCACTTGACATTATGTATGTGTTTATGATCTGTCTTCCCTACTATAATGAGGGTGGGACCTAGTCCGTTGTGTGCTAGGTACTCCCAGCGTCTAGAATAGTGCTTGGTACCTTGTAGGTACCAATACTCATAAGTATTTGAATGAATAAATGAAAGAATGAACAAGAGGAAGAGGTATAATAAGAGGAAGACCATATTTTCAGGGAAAGGTAATTCACTTTAGGTCCTTTTGATTCTTATGTGTCCATGGGATATCCAAGTGAGAAAGGCCACATGTTTGGAGCTTAGGAGAGAAGTCTGAGTTAAGGAGAGAGTTTGGAGGTCATTTGAGGTGCTGAGAGAAGAAGAGACAGTGGAAGGGATGGAGACAGGAAAGTTAGAGGAGCAGGGGGTTCAGGGTAGAATGCATGATGCGAGAGCCCAGGGAGAGGTGGGCAGAACCTTGGATCTGGAGTCACAGGCCTTAGTATGGTCTCACTGCGGCAAATTTCTAGCTCTGTGGCCTTACATAGGCCCCCTGAGCCTAGTTACCTCATCTTTAAAATAGAAAAAGCACCTACCTAAAGGTGGTTGTAAGATAATACACATAGTTTATGTAGGGCAGTGTGCAACGCTAAGGTCTCAACAGTAAATGCGCTCAACATGTATTACCCACTATTGCTATATCCATTGTTAAAGTTTTTACTGAGGAGTTTTGAAAAGTCACACAGAAGGATGTCTCCAAGCCATTTGATTTGGCAAGAAGATCATTAGTGATCTTAGTGAGAATAATTTCAGTAGAATTGTGGGAGCAGAAGCCAGTTTGCAGTGGGTGGAAGAGTGGGTAGATCTGAAGAAAGTAAGTACAGGAAGTGAAGATTTGGTTTCAAGATCTTCATAGGGAAGGAAAGGAGAAAGAGATGGTGAGAAACTTCTCCAGAGTGAGAGAAGACATTTAGTGTGTGTAATGGTATTGATGGGTCCACTGCTGCCCCCTTGTTGGTCAGGGACTAAGGTTTTCCTTCACTGCCCTGTCCCCACACAGGGTAGGCAAAGCCCCCACTGTCTGTTCCGGGAAGCGTCCATGTGCCCAGGACAGTTATCCACAGGTAATGAATTGTGTGTCAGGGTGGGGGGTAC